TTACATTATAAATTGAAATTAGTATATTTACTCGTTCATGTATAAGTATGTTGAAAATATGATAAAGATGCTAATGAGTAAAAAAATGATAAAATCTGTAAAAAATTTTCATGAAAATTAGTCAAATCGTAATAAATATAATGTATTGTATTATTTATTATTATTGATTTATTTTTCAGAACACAACGCTTAATTTTCTAAGATTTACATATAGTTAACAATTTTAGAATTAAAACGTGTGTAGTTATGAGTTAAATTATGTTAGTTGCGTTATGAATTGATTAAAACGACGAAATTACCACCAATGTCTTCTTTTCAAATCGAGAAACCGAGTTAAAAAAAAAAAAAAAAAACTATAAAAATCCACGATAAGGTTTCAGTAATAACTTTACCGGCTTAAAAACATCTTTTAAATACTAAATCGGAAATAATTATTTATTTTTTATTAAATTATGTTTTTCATAGTTAATTTTAAATTGTAAAACAATTTGCGCAATAATCCAACTAAATGGACAAAAAAAAATAAGACAAGAATTTTCACATAACTGTTTCCGTAAGATAATCAATTTGCTTAACTATGATGATTTTTAAAATATTTATTAGGAAATTCTAATCTGATACTTTATTCAATTTCATATCTATAAATATAATAGATAATTTTTGGAACGATTGGATAGCAGGAAAAACATAACAATAAACCGGCAGTTTTATTTGAAAAATAAACTTCAGTTAGATTCCCATTTTATCAAATTATACAATGAATGTTCTAAAATATTTTAGAATTAGAATCCAACATAATATAGAATATTTATGTTGATTATTATATAATAGCAATACCATTTGCTTGATATGCTATGCATAGGTAATTTATCTAACAACAAAATCTCAATTTTGATTTAAGAAATCGTCAATAAATAATTCATGGTTAAGCCCATTTAAATATAATAGAGTTACAAGTGAATTAAAAATAAATAAAATCCAGTTTTTATTTTCTTCTGTAAATATATATATATATATATATAATATTATTATTATATCTTAAATGATAATTATATATTTTAAATTTCATTTTTTTTTTATCACCTGTAAATAGATGTTTCAAATATTTTTAAACTACTATATAATATTTACGCTCAACTGGAGCTCATAAAAATGACATATTGAAGTGTATTTATGGCCCATCAACAAATTAAATTTTTTGTGAGACAAATCACCAGTTATAAAAATATGTAAACATAACACGTCCGTCTTTATTTTTTTATATCGTTACCACATCGTAGCATTAAAATATTTTATTTATATATTGCATGATTATAATAGGCACTTCATTTTCTGTGATACTAGTTATTTTTCAATTTTGTTTTCTTCAACATTCTTTCGATGTATTAAATAATATAATTTTAAACTGTTTACAGTCCTATGGAATACAATAATTTTGATCGAATATCAAGAAAAAGTCTTTCATTGGAGATTAATGTTGAAATAAATCGTCAATGATAAGTATAGCTACACTAAAAATTGATTGGGTTTTCGATTCCCTCTGAAACAAGCGAATGATTATCAAAATTTAAGCATAGTAGATTCCAAGTTTGATAAACATATAACAGGTACCGATTTATCATTATCTATTCAACGATCTCAATATCACAGGAAGTTAATATTTTCCTATCTTTGAAATGTACCTATACACACCAAGACCGATACACCGGTTATACCGTTTTTACTTTCGTATAATAATAATTAAGTCCTTTAATGTTTTATTTCTAAAACGTATGTATATACGTATATAATATTAATGTACTATCAAACGATAAACTTTAACGATTTACTTATTTATATATACCCAACCTAATCCAGTACAGAACTCATCGAAATTCGAGTTATTAGTAACATACATCAAACAATATTTTTTTTTGATAATAGTTTTGATGTTTTAAGCAAAATCCTAAATCAAACCAAGGCTATGCAGTAGTGATGCTGAATGTTTATACAGTGGCTGGTCAGCGGTTAACCATTCACGAAGCGTGACCGACGGTTTCATATTATACTACAGTGGGCTAATGTGAGATCGATGAGACCTACAATATCATTATTTTATGTGTGCATTATCACCGCGAATGTACGTTTTATGTCATATCGTTCCTGTGGAAGAGAACTTCATAAAAAAAAACCAAAGGAATGCGATTGTTTGCACATTCGCTTGACGTTGACTGAAATAATACATAAATAAATAAAAGCGGAGCACGAATATAAGATGTTTGAACAAGAGATTTGAAGGAATCGTTATCCAGAAATGAAATAGTTGAAGCATATATTTTGTATATTCAAAGTCTACACACTTCTGAATTGATACTGACTCGATTCATCAAAAATAATCTAAATGCCGAGGTTTATGATTAATTTCAAGTATATCGACTACGGTTAGACCTTGTATTGTTTCCGATTCGATAATCGCTGTTGTAATGCATCGGTTTGTTCTGTCTGCGTTTGGATATAAATTAAAAATAGAATAACATAATATAGTTTAATAGAAATGATAGTCTATTATTTAGGTTCAATGTGCCACAAAAAGTAAAATATTACTTTGTAAATAAAAAAAAAAAACATTTGCCTATTAGTTTAGTCGATCCCTACACAATTGTTATTTCGAAACATATCTCAGAGAAAATTTCACGAAAATAAATAGTTTTAAATATTTATAAATGTGAACGATGTAAAATGTTGGTTGGCTGTATAAAAAAAAAATGGTGTCCGAGTAGGTAACACTTATCAAAAAATACTCATGTTCAACGCAAATACATAAACTCATATTATTAATAAATTTTTTCATTAAAATGTTTTAAAAAAATTAAATTTGCTACTATAACATTATTTTAAATATTTATCATGAATATTCATTTTTGCTTTTAAATATAATAGTAGAAAAAATATTCTTAAATAAGCCTAATTTGAGTTATAATGTTATATACATGTCAGAAAATATATTATTTAATTAAAAAAAAATAAAATTTTAAATTACTTAACATTCATTAAAGTATAATTAACTTGATAATTTGAAAATCCTAATAATAGCTTTAATAGCTTTAATAGATACACTATAAACTATATTTTAGAATAAATTTATCCTGGTTAGCATTTAATTTAATTTTGTCACAATTAGTATAAAATATAATATCGAATCAATGAAAACTATATAATTAAGTTCCAAAGAAAATAATTAATTGTTTAACATTGGCCAAATAACTTGAATGATATTGTATGTAGATTGACAAAAATTTCATATTTATAGAAAAAATATGAATTTACTATAATTTCTAAATAAATATTTATTAGTAGAGTTATAAAAAAAAGTTATAAAAAACTAAAGAAAAAACTAAAAAAAGGAATAAAGCTGAATAAATCTTCCAAAAAAGCATTAATTGTTAGAAAAAAAATTAATAAATGTCGGCATTTTGTAAATGAATATACGGTGTTATAACGAATACTGAATTGTAATTCTGAGTAGGGAATTCCCAAGTATATCCAAGAACATATTTTTGTATTTATTTTTGTTTGAAGATAAATTAATCTATTATGCACCATACGGTACGTGACAAACTGAATATACGGGGAAAGGTTGTCAAGAAATGATTGAATATGATTTAGAACACATTATATAATATAAAATAAATATTAACATTTCAAATATATTTATTTAGAATGCATTTTAAAAAATATTACTTAAACGCCAAAAAAGTATCCAAATTACCCAAAAAATCTAATACACAAAAATTAAAAAAAAAAGTAAAATAAAATGTCGTGCATTATATTCTAAGTAATATAAATCGATTTTGTAGTTGATATAGCTTCGTTTTAGAGTACCTAATAGACAAAAAAAGCAAATGCACTCAAAATCCGTTTTCAATTAGCAATAAAGTACAATTGATTTAGATGTATTAACTGATATATAGTTTAGTAAAAAGTAAAATGTATAGCAAGTAAGTATCTATAAGTTAATGGCAAATAACATTTACATTTTAAGTAAGACCAATACAAAGAACTTTTTTTTTTAAGTATATTTTTCTATTATAATAAATAATTATTAATATGTACTTTAACCATATAAATGACTAGGTATAAAAATAAATCGTCTACTTGATAAGAGTGGTAAAATTAACATTAAATATAATTTTATCTCTTTTCATGTATCACGTTGATACTACATTTTTGGTATTATCTATTGTTATTTGGTATTTTTAGAGATGTATGATGACATTTTATTGAACACACGAAAATTCATATGAGAAGAAATCCGATAAAGTTTAATTTAATTAAACTGAAATTTAGTTAAAAATAAAAATAAATAATTTAGATATTTAATATATCTTTTTATTTTAAGCATAAGGAAAAATAAAAATATTTAGGTGATGGACCGTTTTTCAGCTTGTTTTATGGTATCCGTAGGATAATAACAATAAACCTAGGCTGTAAAAACAAAAATCTCTTGTGGATGTATTATATAAGCACATAACAGTATTGAAATGCAAAATACGATTTAACACTGTGACTTCAAAAGGAGGTTAGTTTACAATTATTATTCCTTTTATACGCTCGTGATTTAATAGTTTTAATCTTGGAGGCAATTAGATCAATTTGACTGCTATTAATATTTAATCAATTATAGTTGTATTTATAAGTACATAATATTAAATGTTTTGACCAAACCAGTGTCTATTTGAAACGATATTAGTTTAATTATTTAATCAACTAATTTTCCTCCACGCATTTAAAAGTTTTAAAATTTCGGTACCATTTTAAAACCAAAGAAGTGTTTTTAGTTTCTTGTGCGTTAAACTTTTCGAATTGAAACTTATTTTAAAGATTTAAAAAAAAAAAAAACGATACATCAGTCGAATGCAATGGTCTATTTAAATATTATTATTATTTCGTTGGAACGGAGGACGCGAAACAATCGACTACCTACATATTATTATTCACTTGACGAACAAACGTTATATTACCTGTCAAATCGTGCAATCTAGGGCCGGCGTAAAACATGCCTGCTCTTGCGAACCATTCGAGTTGCATCTGTTGCAACTGACCGGCAGACATATTTGAACGGTTGGCGGTCGCGGCCACCGCTACCGGGACCGTTGCTTGGGTCGATCCAGGAGAATTGTTGTTGTTGTTGTTGCTGTTGTTGTTGGTGTTTGTGGTATCTATACGGGGTAACGGTTGGAATGCCGATGACCCGTGGACGAACCCGAAGCCACCGTTCCGCCTGTGTAGATGGTCTCTGGTCAACAAGTCAGCGGCGGATGAAGCAATCGGGAAGTCGGACGATTTCATATAGTTGGAACTGTAGGCCAACGATCGCATTGTCGAAATCGTCTCGTTCTCGTCGACGTGCTTGCCCTCGTATCCGAATAACAATCGCTGTTCCGGTCCGGGTGAAATCGACGCGCTGCGGCTCGAGCAAGGAGTCGATGAGCAGTCCGACGACGTAGTCAACGACGTCTTGCGCGGCGGTGCCACTTCTCGGTGGCCCAGCAGCGCTTCGATGCAAAACGAAGTCTTCATCGACTTGGACGGCGAGTCGTTGTTGGCCGGTCTTTGTTTCAGGTCCAACGGGCTCGCCGAGTACCGGACCCTGGGGCACGAGTCTTCCTCGACATCGGACCGCGACATATCGTTGACGGCCTCGCGATCGCGTAGTACCGTATCGACTTATGTTATGTCGGTTGTACGTATGTATGACACCCGTCGATCGATCCGATTTCCGGCGATTATTTTACGATTTGTATTCAATACTATATTAAATGATATTCTATTGTATCGTACCGTGCAATTTTTTTTCTGTCAACTCGATGTGTTCCTGAAGCGCACATGTGGTTGACTGTTACGAGACGAATGTGATCGTACGGAGAACGATGGTAAAAACCGTTCGGCTACTTAACCGAGGGGCCCGAGGGCTGGCGATACAGCTAGCTGCGCGTGGGGGCGAGAAAAGGGTAAACGAACGGAACGACCTTATTGGTTGCCGTTTTGTATAGCGGACCACGCCTCTATCTCTTATTCTTTAGTAGTTGGCATATATGGGGTTACGGGCTTTTAACAACTTGTTAGTATCTTTACCAAACGCACTGGTCGTATTATTTGGCTTATTCATTTCTGTTCGCGAGAACGATGTGATTTTATATCATTATTTATATGCTCTTTTTGTCACGTTTATAAATCCAACAAACATTATTTGAGTAGCCAAAAATAAGAGTAACCGAATTGTGAAACGTAGCTTGTTCGGAATTGTATCATTTAAATAAATAAATGTATAAATTATATATTTGCACACAACATTAATTTATACATTACACGCATTTACACTAGAAATAATTTTATTGCGGTCTATGTGTACTGTAAATACTATATTTACTATACTAATAATAGTACATTTAATAATAGTAAATACTATATTTATATTATGATTCACTGATATTCTAACCAACTGATGTCCGTTATATCGAAAAGTAAAACGAATTTTTTCTATAAAATATAATTCACTTCTACCTTTATTACATTAAACCCTCGCAGTCAGTTGTTTAATTTGTATGCGTAGTGCCCATTTATATTCGTATCTTATGCGATTATATTGATTTTTTCGAATGCTTTATTTGTCGACAGTCCAAAGAAAAACACTCATAATTCATCTTGGCTGTTTCGCTGCGTATGCAATAATGTAATTGATAACGATTTTTATATAACGAGTCGTTCTGTTTTAAAATCTCTATTTTTTTTAATAATTGTCTGCCAGGGTTGTTGTTGTGTTTTTTATTTTTTTCATCATCTGACGTTCTGTTACTAGATACTTTGAAAACTACATTCAGTTTTTTTACTTTATAAAAGTGTACGTTGTGTAAATAAGTGTATTTGTGCCTTGTTGGCGAACATCAAGCTCTAATATACCCTGCAGGGACTACGGGTAATAAGCGGCGGATCTGATCTAATCAGAGTCCGCACGGTCTGCCGAAAAACAAACATAGTTCTCACAATTCCAGTCACGTACGAATGGGAAGGCTGGCGTACGAGTATTAAGCTATTTATCGTTTTCCACGACGACTTATAGTTAAGTTTTGCGTCGTTTGCGCATGATAATGTATACGCATCCTCCATTGTGATCGTTCGAATGAAATATTACAACTGTTCGAGTTGAATAAGTTGTTATACTCTGAAATACTGCAATGTAAAATATAAAATGGCGAATTTAAAATCGACAAAATTATTTGTTTCGTAATTAAATGTCGGTTAACAATTATTGATTACTGATGATACTTGTTATTTGCAAGATTTATCGATGAGCATGTGTTATATTCTAAACATGATTTTTATTTTCACAAATTTTGCGGGATTTGCACTAAAATTAAATTTTCTAGAGACAAAATATATGTAACAATTTATTAATTTATTATTTATTTAATTTTTTTAAGAGCTATATATTACTTTTATTTAATGGAAGGAGAAATTAATAGTCAAAAACCAAAATTTAAAATAATAAGGAACGTAAGTTAACATTTCTTAAACATATTAAATATATTATTTAAAGAATGATTTAGATAACATCTTCTCAAAATTTTAAATGTCTATGTCTAAAAGTGTAACTGTATTTAAGATAATCATAAAATTACTAAGATAATATAGTATACCTGTGTAATATACTACGAATATGTGTTAATACTCGTAAATCATTGAATTGAATTTAAATTTCTTACAAAATCATAACATAAGTGATGACTTTTGTAATAATTTATATATAAATAAAATGTTAGTTGATTAAATATAAACACCTAAGTTATCAATAAGGTCTTAAATATATTAAATAATAATTATGTTAATCTGATGTGAATTTTTACATTATTAAGATTTTAATGACAATAAAAATTCTCTCTAGTTATTTTATTTAGGTGATTATAATTTGTTTGTTATTTTTCTTAAAATCTTAGCTCCAATTTGAAAAATCTTCAATTAAATAAAAATGAAAAAGAAATTGAAAAAAAAAACTGTAGCGGAAAAATTAAAAATACTGAAAAAATATAAATAGCGAAATCTTAAATAAAATTATATAACTGAATAATGAAAAAATAAATACAGTATTTGACGACTTATTTATTATCATCAATCTTAAGTGATATTACGGTTATAGAAGGAAATAAAAATATTATCTATTGACTTTAAAATACTACGCTTTTATTATTAGTTATTATTAGACTCGAATTTTAAAACAATTGCTTCTTATTTTATATTTGAGATAGAAATATAATTTTTATTCATCAATTCATTTCATGACATTCTGATTCCAAATAAATTAATTTTTGTTTTTTTTTTTTTTTTTGCGTAGTTATTCCAGTTGTGGAATTTGTAGATGTTTATTAAAGATTAGTAATAACAAAAAATGTAATTTAATTAATAAGAAATATGATAACCCGTACTGCGGACTCAATAGTTATATTGGACTATTATTATTTTCATTATCGGCTTGACTGTTAAATGTATTTAACGTAACAGGCTTTATTGTTAGGATTTTTTTCCAACTGCACAAATAAAATATATGTTACAAGGGGGCTTCGCCCCACACTCTCCACACTCATTTTATTGATTCTGATGAAGCAGATAATGAATCTAAAGACGTGGAAATAGCCAACATCGGTTTCACTAACCTACTATTCAAACAATTTGATGTCGTGTTTATCATTTATTTATTTTTATTGATATTTTATGAACGGGCAAATCGCCTTTTATAATAATAATTACAATAATTAGCAAACGTTTATATTATAATTATATAATTTATATAAATTCATATTATAAAATATAAATACCTAAATAAAACATTTTCATTTGTAAAAAAATAATTGTTCAAAAAAAACTAGTTATGATTCGAAGACTTCGAGTAGATAAAGATTAAAGAAAATAATATCCAAATAATAAAATATGTAAGACTGAAATAGTAATTTAATGAAAATGTAAGTAGAAATTTGATTGCGAGCTCAGTAATACATTTTTTTAAGGTAAATATTTAGGCTCGTCAACATATTTAGATCCTTATATTAAAAACTTAAATGACGCCATTAGATCGATGCAAGAAATAGTATTTATGTGAGCGTCGCGCTTACATATTATGTATCAAACTATCAACGACTGCAATGGATTAACATAAACAAGTATAGCACGAACACAAGTGAATTTCAATAAACATTTACAAGTTTACATATACAAGTAGATGAATTCGATACTAATTTTTGTATTAAAATATGTGCGCTACAACACACTTTTTATCCACCGAAATCTCAAATGTTCACCCTTAAAAATAAAACCATGTACCTAATTTGTCATAACACAATGGCCTATAAAGTATAAACTATACTTTGCGTTCATAATTTCTTCCATTATTATTCTATAAATTAAAATTAACATTTACATTTATTGTGCACTCCGAAAAATAGCCACTGTTACTGCACCATTCACGTATAGTAATTTGTACACGAACCATCACGATAATTATAATATAATTTATTTGATATAACATTTTTATACATTTACAATAATTTTTTCATTGTTATTAATAATCAAGACAACTAACAAATCTGTTAACCAAATATCTAATTTTTAAATGTACCTTACTATAAAAAAATATTTTTTCCACCCCTCAAATGCACATCTAATTTTTAAATGAAGATAATACATCATGTAAACATAACATATAATATGTAATAATTGAATAAAATTATAAAAAAAAAAAAAAAAACGATAAAGAAACAAATGGTTTTTAAAAACGTAAATAAATAATAAATGGAAAGAAATATAACTTTTGTGATAATATTATGCTACAACATAAAAATAAAAACCCTTTTTTGTCCATGATTTTACTTACTACACTTATTCAAACCAAAATATGAACCACGAAATATAAAAAAATAATACATAATATTTCACTTTTTAATGTTTATACATATGTAAATAATATTATATCTATACAAATTGTGTGTTATAAATATTATGTCATAAATATTAAGCCAAAGTAATCTTAACTTTATTTAATTAAAAAGTACAATGAAAATGTTTAACTATAAATATAAAATTACAGAATGATTATTGCATGCTAATTTTAATACAATTTAATGATTATCCGTAATATTAAAATATAAAATTAATTACAACTTATTTTTAAAGAATCCAACTTTGTAAACGCTTTGAACCCTTGTGACATGTGTGCAAACAAATTATAGTAAAGGGTTTCATAAATATCTTGAAAAAACTAGGAGGATAAAAATAACAGCAGAACTTAGTATACACGTATGTTATAAATAAGAATACTTTGAAATACACTGAAAACTTTAAAAAGAGGTGAAAAAAAATGCATAAAAAACACCTCTCCTTCCCAGAACACGAGAAACACATACGGTAAGTTTTACAACAGATTATTTATTAATTCAATGTTACAATTTTCACTTGATGTAAAAAATATATATAAAAAAAATACAATATAAAAATGATTCATAAGCATAAAAAATATAGTCTGATTACGAAGCAGCCATTTTGGAATGATGATACGCTACTCAGCACTGAGCTCAAGAAACAAAATAAAATCTAACGAAGCGTTAAATAATTTGATTTTAACCTACGCATCTCTTGCTTAGTGTAACCAGAGGGAAAAGCAATTTTCCCACCACACTACACACAACCTTACAACCCATATTTTCGTTGTATGCTACAGCTGTTTAAAGTGGCTTATCCAGAATTGTTATATGTAAGGGGGTTTAAAAATAACTATATATATATATATATATTTTTATACACCCTAAAAAAATATATAACAATATTAACACTCACATTCATACATTGGAAAATATAAATAAATCGAGAAT